TATATATATATATATACTACAACATCAACATTCTAATTGAAAGTGATTTTTACAAAATGCGATATACAATAATGCCTATCTTTTGCTGCTGTTATTTTTGTTCAAATTTTTTAGAACAAAAGGAAAAAACGATGTTTTGATTCTAATAAAGTGCTAAATCATGAGCTGTTTAAAAATTTCCGTTTTTTCGTTTAGGTTGCCCACTGTACAAAACTTGGATTTTTGGTTCATACTGATGATGCAGGACAGTCATATTCCCCGTACGCAGTCAGGTACTTTTTGCCCTTTTCAGTGCTATTCAACTTGAGGTTATAGTGATAAATACCGCCTGACGGATTGACTTTTCGATAAACAGGAATTGCGGCTTACTAAAGTTTTCTTTTTATGATTATATCTCTGTTTATAGAAGTCTTCCGTGACCAGACGTTCTTGTTTACGTCTGAATCGGTTAGTGAGGGACATCCCGATAAGATGTGTGACATTATATCAGATGCAGTATTAGATGCGCATATCTCGCAAGATTGTAATGCTAAAGTGGCTTGCGGTACTCGTGCTGATGTTCCTTTGCATTTTATGTTTTCATGCGTTCCCGTTTTGGAGAGAGCCATATGACTTTTATAATTAACTGAAAAAAGAAAAACTTTGTATTTTTATGCAGTTAACGTTTTTACCTTGCAGATACATGGACATCTACTCGGTTTTGCTTTTCCTTCCTCCGTTTAGCTAAACTAGAGTCCGTTTAAAGTGTTACTTTCTTACAGAAACAGTAACTAAAACGGGCATGGTGATGCTCTGCGGAGAAATAACATCTAAAGCGATACTAGATTACCAGAACCTTGTTAGAAATACAGTCAAGGAAATTGGATTTGATAGTTCCTCAAAGGGTTTGTGTTTTAGGCAGCACTAATATATTTTCAGCTAGCGTGTGAGGTCGGTTCATTTTCGGAAGATCACTGATGTGTTGTTTAAGTCGTACATTGGACGAGTATTACCCTTACACCTCATCCGATGTTTCCTCACTTAGCTTTTTTAGGTTTTGACTATAAAACTTGTAATGTCTTAGTGGCTCTGGAGCAGCAAGCACCAGAGATTGCTGCTGGAGTTCATGTCAATCGTTCTGAGGAAGATATTGGTGCAGGTGACCAGGTATCCGGTTGCAGTTTGTTCAAGGAAAATAAATATCTTGCATTAAAAAGTCAATTTTAGGGGCTGATGTTTGGTTATGCTACAGATGAAACGGAAGAGTTGATGCCTTTGACTCTACAGCTGGCTCATAAATTAATGGCTCATCTTCACAAATTAAGGCGAAGCGGTGAACTAGAATGGGCTTGCCCTGATTCCAAATCTCAGGCAAGGCTTTTTCACTTTTACTTTAGCACGTTTTTTTTAATGATTGTTAGTCGCACTTTATAGGTTACCATAGAGTATAAGTTTGATCATGGTGCATGTGTTCCCATCCGCGTTCATACTGTAGTGCTCTCGGCTCAACATAAGCGAAGCTACTCGGTGGAAAAAGTACGAGAAGACATAAAGGAACGCGTCATTAAGGTTTTATAACTTTCAGTTTATATTATTTGACTGACAGAAAAAGTAGTTGTGGCCAGTGAAAATGCAAAAAAATCAGTAAGCGAAACATGAAAAACCGTACAGTTTCGTTACCTAACAAAAAAAGACTAGTATAGAAAATTACGGTTTACAGATAAAAATGTAACTGATGCAATAATAAAAAAAAAAACAACTTATTTTTCTCAAGTCTCTAACTTTTGTTCAGAATAATATCGATCTTGTTTTTTTTTTTTATTTTTTTTCAAGGTTTCTGAAAGTAGGTAGATTAGCTGTATTCTTGAGTGGACCTTCGTAAGCTTTTCTAGTTTGACTGGTAAACTGGATTCTAAAGTTCTTTGTCCACTTTTCAGTTTTGGGGTTTTTAACGCTGCATTTGCTTGAGTCTGGTAAGAAATTAAAGCTCTTTACTCCGTAGTTTCACTAATTGCGGTCGCTTTTATGGAAGGGTCAGTGCAGACTTGGATTCAAATTATGTTACTGGTTATAAGTCTTAATAGCAACACAATTAAGTTAAAGCGTGTGATACAGCTATTTTTTCAAGCATCCATTGCATTGTTTTGTGTACAGGAGGTAATCCCTAAGCACCTCTTGGATGAGGAAACAAGATACTATTTAAATCCGTGCGGAAGCTTCATTATTGGTGGTCCACAAAGCGATGCCGGTCTTACTGGGAGGAAAATTATTGTGGACACGTATGGTGGTTGGGGTGCACATGGAGGTGGAGCATTTTCGGGGAAGGATCCATCTAAAGTAATTTTTACTTGAAAGATTATTCTGGTTTTTGAGGTTATATCTCGGCAAATCACTTCATTTTGAAGGCTTATTTGCAAAAACTTTAAACTTTTGTTTTAGAAATACAGAGATTAAAAAAGTTTTGCTCATTCTTTTAAATGTTGAGTCCTCTCTTAATTTCAGGTAGATCGTTCAGGAGCATACGGTGCACGATGGGTGGCAAAATCTCTTGTTGCTGCTGGCGTCTGTAGACGTTGTCTTGTTCAGGTAGATTTACTTAACTCTAATAACGTTTAAACCGTGGTTTTCTTAATTCTGTACCAAAGAAGTCTTTTTGACTTTTTCTGTTATTGTAAAGTTACTTCACCACTCGGGCGTCCGAACTGCATGAAGTAGTTATCTGAGCAGTGGTTAAAACTTTGGAACTTAACAAGGTCGAGTTTGCCTCCAGATCCAGTTTTTTTTTTCTCGGGTTATACACTTCTCGAGCTGGTTTGGCAAAAATCTTTTAATGTACAGTTTCAGTAACTTTCTCAGTGTAATCGCCGAAATTTTCAGTTTGATGAAGAAGCATATGAGCTAAATTTGAATTATTTTCCTTTGTAACTTATAAATGTGTAAAGATTTTAAAGCTGCTTGAACTCGAACTTTGATCTTATAGTTTAAGTATTTCTAGTAAATGCGATTTTACTATTAGGTTGGAAAATAGCCCTTGCCTGCTTTTGCGAGTACCCTTGTCAAGGTATAACTTTATTCAAAGCCAGTTTTTTGAACGAAGACAAATAATTCGCTCATTGCTTTCTAAATTGTTCTTGAAGTTGCAGAGAAGTAAAACTTGAAAATCAGCTGAGAGGAACAGTTGCGCCCGAATAAACATCCTAACTATAAATCATTTGATTCAAAAACAGTAGTTTTGGAAAATAACTAGAGTGCACTATAAGTAAAGTTTTCTTTTGCTCCCTCCTCATTATCTAGTATTACACAAAGTCCGCCACGGACCGATGCAGCTTGAACGGCAATATCTTGAAATTAAAGCTACAGTTTGTTAAGCTCTCAGTAAAGCTACAGTTTGTTAAGCTTTCAGAAATGGTCTAGCATCAGTCATTATAGGTCGCAATTTTTTTGACACAAGAACATGCTTCTCCATAAACGACTCTTATGCTGTCTTTGATGATAGTAGTTTTCTCTCAGGTTTGTTGTGTTAGAAGAACTTTCTACCAAGACAGTTCGGAAACGATTTATTTTGGAACTTATTCACTCACTGGATTTTTCAAAAGCATTGTTTTATTTCTCTAGGTGACGCAACATTAATGAATTTTTCTAATGCAACTCGCAGCTACCAGTACCGATTTTATTGATTACAAGAGAAAATGTTAAGGTACTAAGTAAGCAATAAAATAGCTCGTAAAAGGAAAGTTGAGACTTAAGCAGTAAGACGGTGTAAACTAATCTCATATCTATTTTTTCTAACGTTGTAAGAGCATTTTGGTCTTCTATTTAGCCACTCATTATACACTTACAACATCATCTTGTGTATGCCTTTGTTCTTTCAGTACTTCAGCCTTTGAATTACCTAGGTATCATACGCTATTGGAGTATCTAAGCCCCTTTCAATAACGGTCATCAACTATGGAACCAGTGCGCTGACTGAGGACCAATTGCTAACGATCGTTAATGACAATTTTGACTTACGCCCTGGAGTTTTAATCAGGTAAACGTGCTCAAGACTGGGGCACTGTGTAAAATTTTGAAAGTGGCTGGTGCTTTTGAGGCAAAGATTGAATTTGTTTTGGATAAAAAACAGTATGAGCATCAAAATACAAGTTCCACGTTTTATAGAAGTTGTTTAAAATATGCAGTTTTTGAATCTTCAGAAGTTCAAGTATTTCTCAGTTTAAATGATGATGAATAAGGGCTATGGCTTACTCCTTGACAGTTAGTTGGGCTTCGTTAAAGATTCATGAAGTTTAGATGAACGGGCAGGAGAGTGAATTTTACGCCGATTCAAATTTTACAGGCTGTAGTACCTGTTGAAAAAGCCAAGTTTTCACCTATTTCCACTGGGACAGAGAATTGACCTTGTTCCCAAATCTAGTGTAGTATACTTTGACGGTTAAATCATCCTTCTAAGTTCTATTTTTGGCTTTTCAACTTGGGAACCAGGCTCTGCTAATTATCAAAGTTTAAAGCAAAGAGTACACATGCCGTTCCACCAGTTTCTTCGCACAATCTTTTCTAGCATTTTGATTTTCGAAAAAACAGTTTAATAAAAAATTTTGTTGATCAGATCTGCTTTTGCAATCTTGTATTGTTCTAATACTGAACTGGGACATGCTTAAAAACAGCTCCTTTCAAGACTAGGGCTGAAAACTTTAACCTGCAATTCTATCTGATCTGACTTTTTTGAAACGGAGCGAATTTATGGAGTGGAGCCTCTACTGTGCCAATTAGCAACTTAACGGCGTTGTTATCTACTGCTGTTATAACATCTTATGTTTGAAGGCTTGTAATGTTTCAATTTTTTTAGAGATCTTGGTCTGAAGAACCCAATTTACAAAGCAACAGCTAGTAATGGACATTTTGGAAACGCGTCGTTTCCTTGGGAAAAACCAAAACAACTTTACATACGGCCGGAATTTGCGGAAGTGTTGCGAGCTGCGGGGCTTCAAGAGAAGAATCCAGTCAACAGTGAACCTTGACTCTGATTTCTGTGTTACTCAGTAAATCTGCCATGGAAAGCTCGTTCTGTGCGTTTTCTGAGACGGCATATAAAGGTGTATAAAGGATAGGTTCCCTCAGGTCTTCTACTTTTTGTTAAACTCCCTACAGGAACTAAAGGCTAAAAAAAGTTAAAGACCAAAGGGAAATTATAACTACTGATTTTGAATTTTTTGCTTCCCTTTGTCCCTTCCAAAAGGTGTTTTTTTCTTGCTGTGCTAGGTATCTAACCGGTTGCTGTGAAATCCTACATCTGCATTTGGTTCTTGATGCCATCAAAACTTGAAGATGCGTTCCTGGCTACGGCGGTGTTAGAAGGATCTGGTCTTGTCTGTTAGCACAGCGACGGATCAATTTTAACTTCTTGGAAGTCGTCTGGGTAGATAACTAAATAAAATTAAAATTTGGGAAGCAGAGAAAGTGTTCCTAAAGAGCCCGGGTACCACTTATATGATCTTTGGAGAAGCCCATTTCACCTTGCGTAGTTCAAGAGCGCCGTCGAACGCATGTAAGCATAAGTAATCCATGTAAGCCTTCACTCCTTTAGCTCATGTTTTCAACTGATTTTCACAAACCAGCTACTATTACTCGAAAAAAGCACGTAGGTCTGAGGATCATTCTGTGTAAACTACTTTTTATTTACCTAGAAGAACTTTCTTTCATTAATTGACTTCCACAGTGGATGCAAATGCGGGACCACTGGTAGCCAAATTAGATGCAACGGTAATTATAACGAAACAATAGCGTTCTTAAGCTTTCGCTTTTTTAGTAGGGGCACAATCATATTTACCGCGCACTATATTTGCTCTTACACCAATAAGGTCTCTTCTTCGGCCTCCTATCACAAGCACCTGAAACAAAATGTTACTCGAGATATCTCTATCTCTGTAACGAGAAATAATTCTGAGAGAGCTGCTATGCGTAATGAGCATGCAGAAATACTGTCCTGCAAATATTTTAAAGCCGACGTCGAAAATGGCTTTGGCTTGCCTGTGAATGCTCCTGAAGGTTGTGACCCACACCAGGGATGTAGGCGCATATCTCGGCGCCTGTGCTTAATCGAACGATTGCACATTTCCTGTTGCCAGAATTTGGCTTTTTCGGGTGGCGAATAATGGCTGTAAAGTTATCAAAATAATAGTCAGCCTGCAATGAGGCAACAACATATAGAAAGAGTATATGTAAGCTGCCCACTTCCTGTAATAATTTTTTGTTAGGAACATCGAGCATCATGCAGCTAGCTTTAAACATGCAGGTTGCATCGGCTTTGGGAAAAAGTTTTGTCAGACCGTATAAAAAACTCACTTTTTAAGACTATTCCTTTGAAGTGGTTGTATCCTTTTATAGCACCTTTGTCATTGCTTCGTGATCGCCGTTTTGGTAGTCCCTGTCTGTGCAAAAACTGCAATTAACCTGACTTACTACCAAGAAATTATTAATTATTAAATTATTAAAATTATTATTTCACTGCCAACAGTAACTTTCTGCTTCTTCTGTCGCAAGCCCTATTCAGAAACGTCTTCATATTTGACATATACTTGAACGGCAAAATAAACACGGGAATTCCACTTTAAATAGCATAATTTTCAGTTTATTCCTCAGTTTATTTAAGATTCGCTAATTAGTGGAACCTCGTTTCGGATTTTAAAAACTGGAGAGAGGGTCTGGAAGGATCTACTTTTTGTCACTTCCGCGCTTCTCGAAGTTCAAGACTTCTATGAACTTCGTTCTCCGCTCGACACAAAAACTCCCACAGAATACATATTTTAAATGGATTACGGAAGCATCTTTTTTTTTGAAATCCTTTTGCGAAACTCGTATTGTGGTAAATTTTCAATTTTTTGCTGAGCCACATAACAACTGTATATCATCCTAAATCTAGGCCAGGTGTACTGGCCTTTGAAATCAGCTATTTCGACCCACAACTGAGAGTTCAAAAGCCTGAAGGAACCTCCTGCTTAAAAAAAATATGAAGTTTGAGGAAAGACAGTATGGCAAACACTAGTTTCCCTTTGGTCCTTTCCCCGATTTTTATCCACAACCAGACTATACTGGTCACAAAAGCTGGGAAACTTTCTGTAAGTTGAATGAAAAAGGTGTCCGTATTGAATTCGCCTATGTGTACTTTAGAGCCAAAAAAATGCTTTACACTCTGTTACAGTAAATTTATAAAAAGAAAGTGCAACCATGGAAAAGGAGACAATGGTGAACTCACCGCATTGTCTAACAGTTAACAAAGTTAGTTTCGTTGTAGCAGATTTAAAAAAAAATTAAAAAGAGCCAAAACTGATCTAAAAAGCAAACTTGGAGTATATTTTCGCGGAGACAACTCGAGCTAGCATG